AACATTGATATAAAACTCCACGCATAGACAGAGCCACAGAAAGAAAAGGCATTGGGTCGTCGGAAAAGTCATGACATATTTTCTATTTTTTTCTATACAAAGATGTGTCATGACTTTTCTGATGACCCAATAGATTAGTGGTTGCTGGGGCAGAGAAGGAGAACAGGAAGGAGAGTGGCTTCTTTCTGGGGCGATGAAACATTCTAGGATTAGATAGTGTACAATATTGTAAGTATACCAAAAATAAAAGAAAAAAAGAAAAAAGGAAAAGAAATCACTGAATTGTATGCTTTAAATGGTTAAAATGGAGGACCAGACAGTGGCATAGTGGAATGCAACAGGATCCTCTCTAGAAAGGTCTTGGGTTCTCCTCGCAGTACGTTGGGCATAGGTGTCTGTGCTCAGGATCTGTCACAGCTGGGACTAGACATGGATCACAGCATGAAAGATTCTGTTGGAACATGTTTCTTTCTCTCTCTTGGAAGAAATAAATAAACTTTAAAAAAGATTTTTAAAAAGAAATTTCTTTGATTAAAGATGGTTAAAAGGTTGATTTTTATCTGAATTTTATCTCAACAGAATAAAAAAAATTCAGTCTATGTCAATGAGGATAAGAGACAGACCTATCAGATAAGTGAGAGGGGATTGCTGAAAAAGTTGCCCACTGGGGGAGGGGATTTCCTGAGAAGGGCATGGAAATATTTTAAGTGGTTCCCTCCCCATTTCCAGCCAAGAAAAGAAAGCATCCAAAAAAAACAAGTTACTAGTTGACACATGCCTCATACAAAGTCTGAGACATACGAAAACTGCCTCCGCACAATGAGAGACACAGGATTGGGTGAGAGATTTGGTTCTACAGCAAATCTAGTTAAGTAGCAAACCCAATTGGAGCAGGCCAGGAGAACAGGCTGCTGCAGAAGCTGAGTACACTTCCAGAGTTGCTGGGCAAAGCCATGCATTTCCTACAGATGGCTTAAGTGACGTTGTCAAAGACCTACTAAGTGTGTTGACTACCAGGGTGAGAAGACCTCCTCAGGAAACTCCCATGTACAGCCAAGATCTGTAGAGGCAGGACTCCAATGAGCGCCATCTCCAAAGAAAAGCTAATGTGCACCCATGCTAAAAAAAAAATGAAAAAAAAAAAGCCACAACAGATATCAGAAGATGTCCAGATTCCATCCAATAACAGGTGCAAAGCTAGAATTAAGTGAGATAGATAATGGAAAGTCCTTCACGGGATACAGAGTGCTATTGAAAGTCTTAGCATTCTTTTTTTTTTTTTTTAATTTTTTTGAGAGGTTTTCGCTATAGGGCGCGTGCGCTTGCCAAACAGAGAGAGACATAGACAAAAAGCGAGAAATTACCCCCCAGGGGGGGTGGTCACGCTGCAATTCCTTCTCCTCCATTCTCCTCTTGGGATCTTGGGCACGCACGCACACGCGCCTGGCATGAGTTTTAAGCCACCGGGTCCAGGACACGAACCGCGGTCGACTATGTGGGAGTTCAGCAACATTGCCATTATGCTAACTGCTGGTTCCCAGCATTCATTTTTAGACTTAACATCACCAAACTGGTGTTGTAACTATTTCTTATATCTCTAACTCCTTAAGTCTTAATTACAATCTGAGAAACTGTGGAAATCACAGGTCTAGAATATCCTCAGATTTTATCTACTCAAAATCACTACCTCCAGTCAGAAGTTACTTCCAAAGCTATCCAGACAGGCATATGACAGTACTGCCTCAGCACATTGGATTCGGAATTATGTCAAGTGTCAAGCCACTTTTCACTATCCATCAGGATCATTATTGACTGGTCAAAAATGCCAGTAGATTATGCCATGAGGAAGAGGCCACACGAATATCTATCTGTCCTACTTTGTTTACTTAAAATGTGTTGTACGTTGAGTGTACTAGCTGGACAGAGGAGAGGGAAAGTGAAAAAATAGCCCCCAGGGAGGATGGCTACACCGCAATTTCCTCTCCTCCATTCTCTTCTCAGGATTTTGGACATGTGTGAACTTGTATCCGTCATGTTGTTTAGGCTGCCAGGTCCGGGACTCGAACGGCACTGTCAGCCTTGTGGGATCCAGCTGTCTTAACTACATTGCCATGGCTGGCCTATATCTGTCTATTTAAATTCTTGAGAGGGAAACTCAACCATCTGTCTTGGTAACCCGTTCCAGGTTGGAACTATCCTACAGAAACGCCTTTCTTCTGTTTAATCTAAATCCTTCAAAGAGAACCTCAAGATAATTTCATCTCATCTATTTTCAAATAATTTGGAACACAGTTGTTTACCATCTGGGTTATGGGATTATATAATGTCACGGGGTTGTGGTTTGGCACTAAGTGACATAATGCATGTAAAACACAGAGCTGTGTCTGGCACAAAATTATGGCCAATATATGTTTATTGTCACAATCATTTAGGACATAAAATATTATCCTCCACAAAATAAAATTGTATCTGTACCCTTATTAAGGTGAACTCTTAATTCCTCTTCTATCAGTTAGGAAACCTAACCTGAACATAACTTTCTCCTTGAGAAATGTGAAGAATCTCCCAAATTCAGTCTTCAAATGGATAAATAGCCTTGTCTGTGGATTTTGAGTGCATTTGGTCTATTTAGGTTACATAATCCCTGCATGATGTTTCTATGATACGCCTGCAGCTAAAATAATATAACCTCCCTGTTTCCATTTTTTAGTCACTTATGTTTTTTAGACTATTTTTGTATTAAACACAGGTCTTTCTTCTGCCTTCATGGTTTCTTTTGAATAGGATGTTAGTTGCTTAGTAAAATGGTGCAAGAAGCTGGTCATTTATTAGTCCTTTAAAAAGTATTCCTTTCGGTAATTTTAATTCTATTTCTTGTTAACCATTCTAACTTTGTAAAAATGAAGGCCTAGAGACCAAGTTTTTGAAAACCCAGGAAGCGTAGTCTAATATTAGAAAATCTCAAAGTCTCTCTCTCCCCTGGGGCTCACAGTGTGGAATGCGTCTACGAGACATTTGAGATGATACGCTTATGAAAAAATTCAACTTTTCATGAAACAGAAACTAACTGGAATCCCATTGCCCTCACCAGAAAAGCTCTTGGTTTAGCAGTTGCTATTCCACATCCATTCCACAAACAACCTGAATAAATTAACAACACAAACATTCTATTGAAATCAGGCCAGGCCTAACAAATCTGTGCACAATGGCTGTGGATTCTGGACAAGGTAGAGAACAACTTTCAATAAATTCAAGGTTGCTCCAGTGTTTTGGGGCATGGGGGGGTGGGAGACAGGTTTGGGGGTGGTAATTGTTACAAGTTTTCTATTTTAAGTATTATTACAAAGTGTGTGTCCTGCCCCAACCCTTTGCTCAGTTTGGTCTGCTTTTCCTATTTCCCTGTCCCTTCTGCTGTAGCCAACATTTTTGGTCAGGGCAGTAATTTGTTTCTTTTAATCCGGATATAATGGCCAAATGGGTCATTTGGCTCAGTCAAATCCCATCGTTAAAACTTATCTCGGAATTAAACAAAACAGAGTTTTAATCGAAAAGCTCATCAACCTCATGCCCTCCGCTTCAGTTTTACATGGCCTTGTCTGGCTCCCACCTTTCCACAGGGACAAGACCATAATCCCAACCCCCTCCACCCCTAAAAGGATAAAGGTTTCTGCATATATACCATTTCACTTCTGGGATAACCTGGTCTGGTGGGAGCCATGAGCATATTAAAAACAAAAATGAAAACAAAACAACAAAAACACAACTGGCTGTGGGATTTTTTATTTTTCCATTAAGGTTAATGCTCTTCGCATTCCAGCCTGAAGGTCGGCTCCAAGCCCTCTCTCAGGCCGTCTTCCCTTTCAAGATGGGACGGTCCCAGATGCTACTTCCCGAGTTAGGAAATGGATAGAACTTTCCCGGGGAGGTGCGGGGTGTCCCTGCTGTGTCTTCTCGGTCCATTTTTCAAGCCGAGATCCCTGTCACAGGGGAGGAAATGTGCCCGACGTCCACTTCCCAACCTCTTCCCCAAACATGAGAGGAGAGCCCGGTAGCTTCTGGGTTTATTTTCTAAACGTTTAAAGCCAACTATACTTAGCGCCCATAAAGGCCCCTTGGCCCTCGTCCCAAAGGAAAGCTCTAAGAGGTTGGGGAACGGAGAGGACAGGATGAGGAAGAAGCCTCAACCAGCGCGGTCACCGCCAAGTGGATCCCCAACGGTGGGAACCCTCCCTCCAGAGCTGGGCGTCTCTCCCCCTTAACCTTCCTCGACCTCACCACCACCCTGTTTGAGGCTGGACAAACGGACGCAACTGGCAGGAGAGTGGATGGGTGTGTCCTCAACCCGGGACGCGAGTCTGGGATTCTGGGGTGAACCCCTGTCGCCGCCCCGTCCAAGCGGCAGCAACCAGGGTCCCGGCTGGAGCCAGAGGAAGACTTAGAGAAAAA